ATGTCTAACCAATTGTCTCTCACTTGTTGTATGCTAACCATACTACATCTCATGAATCCCAAATCCCTATCACCCCTCTATGTGGTTGTGTTCTTCATGTCTGGTTTTGTGACTATGCCAGTGTCAACTGTTTCTGAGCATGTCTAAACCAGTCCTAGACCCTGGCTGGGTTCTGTGTTTGCAGTCAAATGTTCTATGTGTCCCAAACCCCCTTGCCCCTGTGTGTGATTACCGAATTCACTTGGTTCCGTGAACTAGCCGTGTTTGAACTGTGGTAACTATTCCAATCTCTTTTTCTCAAACCATCTCTGTTGCTTTATTGAATTACTCTCAAAAAAGGCCTTTGTTAAATACAGCTTCTTACCAAGACCTTTTCAACTTGTGTCCACCACTTCTCACTCTACTTTTAGTCAATAAGTTCTGCCCCCTCTAGTATGTGTACTGCCTTGGGATCCTTTGAGAACCCTCTGAACTCTAGCATACTGAGGCTGGCCTTTCCACACTGCACCTGTTCAATTCTGGGTTGCTAAGTCTAGGTGTAAGCACTGCCCGGGATCCTTGAGATCCTTAGGGAACTTTGATGCACCTAGACTCTGATTTATCTATGGAACTGAGGCATATGAGACCATTGGAGGCTTTGGGAAACCTGGGCCTAATTGAAGGCTCCCTATAGAATAGCTTCTTGATTTTCTATTTTATTTATGTAATTCATTGGCCTGTAATGATTTGTAAACATATATTTGGGTATTTAGTGAAAAGGGGTGGGGAGATACATATTTTCTGGAGTAATACGGGTAAAAATCCTGCTCTTAGGACTTTACTTTTTCAAGTCTTGTTTGTTCTAAATAGAAAAAATGCCCTTAGAACTTTACTCTTTGAACCCGATTGTCATGCCAAATAGAAATAATGTCCATAGGACTTCACCTTTAAGTTTGTTTACTCGTCAAGTAGAAACCATGTCTATAAGGTTTTACATTCTGCCATGTTTTAGAAACCATGCATATAGGTTCCAAGAAATCATGTCTTAAAATCAGTTTAATAATAGATACCATGCCTATAGGACTTAATTCAAATATAGTTATAATGAGTACTTCTGTATGTTGCCACATTTGCAAATCAACTAAAATCAGTAATACGCCTAGATATCATTCCTATAGGGAGTCCTACTCGCAATTCTATCTGTTAATCTAATTTAGTCTAATGAGCCCCTTTAATCACGCCTAGTTCATTCCTGAATTGGTCTTATTAAGTGTTAAGCAAGTTCTGAAACAAGTTCTTTCAAACTGCCTCATCTCATTAGATATCATGCCTATAAGTATTAAAGGAGCCTATTTCAAAATCCGTTCGTTTCTGCATTAATAGATATCAGTATCCTGCGTATAGGCATGCCTCTAGGGCGCTTTCAAAATTGCGTTCTCGGAAACTGTCTCTATCGTTTAATGCTTTCTGATCCTAACAGGTTTTAAAAGGAGTCCTTAGGCAACTGCTAGGGTATAATTTTTGAGTCTAAAAAAGGGGTTTGTTTGTTGCATATTCACTTAGATATCCTGCTTTAGGACATAGTTTAATAAAAGACCTTAACTGTGCTTGAGTCGTGCTGCTATATGTTTGTTTGAGGAGGAAACTCCGAGCCTCTTAATTGCTCCCATTATGTGTGAAAATCCCAAAATGCTTTTGACTGTCGCCTCAGAATTTTCGCCTTTTAAAAACCTTAGGGGGTATGTCTAGAACCACCTATAGGTAGAGGTCCTAACTCCCTCCAGGACCATTAAGAAGGGACGGGTAGCAGCATGCAATTGGAATCGTTGACCAAACACTCGCTTTGCATGACCAATAAGGGGACGGGAAGGGTAGACATGAATATGATGACCGGTGCGCTAATGCCACGCGTAGCCCCTTTCCAAGGAGTGATTACCGGGCATTGTACTGATGTGATCCTATAGGCTAACCAACCTAAGGCCCCCTTCTCCCCAAATCCTCTTTACTTGAAGCTTTATTTTCCTTTTATACATACAAACTGTTTAAATTCTTATTTGAGTTATACAATGCCCAACATGCTCTGCTTGCAATTATCTGCTTCAACTGTTTATTTTTGGACTAATTCGTAAGTACAAGTTTGGCCGGGACCCACAGTTGTGGACCAAGAGGGGTGCCTAACACCTTCCCCTCGAGGTTACTTCGAGCCCGTACCCTAATCTCTGGTAATGCAGACCAACCCAAGAGTTAATCGCTCTAGGTGCCCTAACGCACCATAATTCGTTAGGTGGCGACTCTTCAAATACCGAATTCCCAAAAAGGAAATGAGTCATAACACCCCGTGAATGTCGAAACCCGGACCCCCTCGCCGTCAAAAAGGGAGGGAAAAAAGGGGGCGCGATAACTGGTGGTGGAATAAAGTGGTACAAGGTAAAGTTGAAGCGAAGAAGGCGTACCGGGCGTTAGTGGGGAGCATAGGTGAGAGGAGAGGCGAGCGTGCATGGGGAGGTATAAGGTAGCTAGGAAGGAAGTGAAGCTGGCAGTCACGGAGACTAAGACTGCGGCGTATGGTCGTATGTACGAGGAACTAGGGGAAAAGGGCGGGGAGAAGAAGTTATTTAGGCTGGCCAAGCTGAGAGAGAGGAAAGCTCGAGATTTAGACCAAGTGAGATGCATCAAGGACGACGATGGTAGAGTATTGATGGAAGATTCCCAGATTAAGAGGAGATAGTAGACTTACTTTCAAAAACTTCTTAATGAAGTGTGGGATCGGGATATTGTGCTAGGTGAATTGGAGCATTCCGAGAGTCACGGTGACTCTAGGTACTGCAGGCGCATCAAGGTTGAGGAGGTCGTAGGAGCTATGAGTAAGATGAGTAGGGGCAGAGCGATCGGGCCTGACAAGATTCCAGTAGAATTTTGGAAGTGTGTAGGCAAAGCAGGTTTGGAGTGGTTGACTAGGTTGTTGAATGTTAATTTTAAGGCAAAGAGGATGCCGGATGAGTGGAGGTAGAGTACGGTGGTCCCATTGTATAAGAACAAGGGTGATATCTAAAGTTGTAACAATTATAGGGGTATCAAATTACTGAGTCATACTATGAAAGTGTGGAAGAGGGTGGTTGAAGCGAGGTTGAGGATGACGGTGTCCGTTTCCGACAACCAGTTTGGGTTCATGCCGGGTCGTTCTACTATAGAAGCTATACACCTTGTTAGGAGGTTGGTTGAATAGTACAGAGATAGGAAGAAAGACATGCACATGGTGTTTATTGACCTAGAGAAAGCGTATGACAAGGTTCCTAGAGAAGTTCTCTGGAGAAGCTTGGAGGCAAAAGGCGTGTCAATTCCCTACATTATGGCGATTAAGGACATGTATGATGGGGCAAAGACTCGGGTTAGGACAGTAGGAGGCGACTCTGAGGATTTTCCGGTTGTTATGGGGTTACACCAAGGTTCTGCGCTCAGTCCATTCTTATTCGCCCTGGTGATGGACGCGTTAACACACCACATTCAAGGGGATGTGCCATGGTGCATGCTATGACATAGTTCTGATTGATGAGTCGCGAGCCGGTGTTAACGAGAGGCTGGAGGTTTGGAGACAAACTCTTGAATCTAAGGGTTTCAAGCTTAGCAGGACAAAAACGGAATACCTGGAGTGTAAGTTCAGTGTTGAACAAGGGGAAGTGGGCGTGGATGTAAGGCTTGAATCACAGGTCATCCCGAGTAGAGGCAGCTTCAAGTACCTTGGGTCGGTTATCCAGGGGGGGATGGGAGATCGACGAGGATGTCACACACCGTAATGGGGTAGGATGGATGAAATGGAGGTTAGCATCTGGAGTATTGTGTGACAAGAGAGTGCCACTGATACTCAAAGGTAAGTTTTATAAAGCAGTGGGTAGACCGGCCATGATGTATGGGGCTGAGTGTTGGCCTGTTAAGAACTCTCATATCCAGAAGATGAAGGTAGCAGAAATGAGGATGTTGAGGTAGATGTGCGAGCATACTAGGATGGATAAGATTAGGAATGATGATATTCGGGAGAAGGTATGCGTGGCTCCCATTGATGACAAGATGCGGGAAGCGAGGCTCAGATGGTTCAGGCATGTTCAGAGGAGAATCCCAAGTGCTCCGGTAAGGAGGTGCGAACGGCTGGCTAGGGAGGGCACGAGAAGAGGTAGAGGGCGACCTAAGAAGTATTTGGGGGAGGTGATCAGGCAGGATATGGTGAGGATTCAGATTTCCGAGGACATGGCACTTGATAGGAACTGTGGAGGTCGAGTATTAGGGTTGTAGGCTAAGAGGTAGTTGAGTGTTGCCTTATGTCATAACTTTGTGCGACTAGTTTGGTAGGGACACTATTTCGCTTTTGCTTTGTATCTTTCTTCTGGATTTCATGTTTTTCCTTTTTTTTCCTATTATTTCTATGTTGTTACTGATATTGTCTCCTTTTGTCTTATTGAGCTAAAGGTCTTTCGGAAACAGCCTCTCTACTCCTTCGGGGTAGGGATAAGGTCTGCGTACACACTACCCTCCCCAGACCCCACTAGTGAAATTTCACTAGGTCGTTGTTGTTTGTTGCTTTTGTTCACTTTTCCAGAAAACGGGTATGATAGCAAAAATGTAATTTCAAAGAAAACTACGAATTAGAACTTATAACTCTAACTTCAGATAATAAAATAAGTCCACTTGACGAGATCTTGTTCCCTAAAAATTAACACATTTTCCATAATAATCATTTGCACCTAATAATAAGTAAATCCTTCTCTGCGATTGATTGTATTAATAAATATTCTAATTGTACAAGACGCTTCAGCCAGTTATCACATCATAAATTACGAAACAAGGTCGTCAAGATGTTTAAGGCAAAATTAATAAACACTTTCTTTTGTATACACAAATTATTAGCGGTCAGATTTTAAGTGCCTGTACCATGGTCAAATTTCAGGTTAATTATTTTTTCATCCTTCAACTTGAATTGCATAAAAGAAAAGCACACCCGTTTCTTTTTTCTTTGGGTCTTTTAACAATACAAGAACAGCAGAATACATTGATACAAAAGCGGTTGCATAAATAATTCAACATAAGAAGTAACCTATAATAAGCTAAAGTACACAACAAATCTCTTCATTATCAATGTATATAATTATATCCAAAAGCAATAACCTAACATTGACAGAACTCGCATAGATGTAACCTAAAAACAAATAAGCTATGAATTACTTCATCCAAAGTTAGTAAAACCACACAAATGTGATATTCATCATCTGATGATAGCAGGTCTATTAGTTGTCCGTTTAGGTCTAGGTTTATTACCTTGCCTTGGCATCTCAGTAGTCAATGCATACATCTTCACAGCAAATAATTCATCTGGAAATCCTTTTTGATCCTGACAAAGAAAAGTCTATTGTTAGCAAAAATGAATTGTACCCTTCAGGGACATGAGACATATTAGAAGTAACGGTACACACTTCCAACTACAATTTAGCTAATATTATTATTGAGGATACTCGAGAGAAAAGATTTAGGAATCACGTTCATATATCATTCTCCAAAGCTGATGCGGGGTAAGAAAATTAAGCAAATTCAGAACCACAAGGTACTACCACAAAGATTACAAAAAGGGGGTGGGGGGTGGGGGGGGAGGGGGGGGGGGGGGAATGGCACTTGGACGAGAGAGAAAGGGGGCCCATCAATTTTATTATGGAAAAAACACCAAATAAAGCAGAAGCTTGATTATCAAGCTACAACGACAAGGGGAAGAGAGGCCATTTAGGAGTTCCAAATGATAATACCAGTAAGAATTTTAGACACAAAAAGATAGTCACACAAATTCTGAATATCATTCTTTCACATTTCCCGACTCCATAAGGTCATTTACCATTTCCAAATAATAATAACAGTAGTTCAGCATGTTAGTTACTAAAACAAGTGTCACTAAAATCTTTGATAACATTCTTTTAAGCTTCTGAACTCCACCAATTGTTATTAGTAGGATGTTCTTTTAGTATTTATCGTTTCATAGCCTTCTTTGGATTAAGGGTAGCCTTGGCGTAATCGGTAAAGATGCTGCCATGTGACCAGGACGTCACGGGTTGGAGTCGTGGAAACAGCCTCTTGCAGAAATGATAGACCCTTGTGGTCCGGCCCTCCCAGGACCCCGCGCATAGCGGGAGCTTAGTGCACCGGGCTGCCCTTTTTTTTTAGTCTTCTTTGGATCATAGTCTAATGCAATGGTGATATCAGAGGGCCTGCCCTCTTCTTTATTGAAGACACCAAGTTGGTCATAAATAAGAAATAAATCTAAAATATCGCCATGCTTCTATCACGGGAAAAGATGCAGCTTCACAAGAAGAAGGGCTAAAGGGGAATGCAATACTTGCTAAAAGCGCAGAGAAAATGAAAATGTTTGCTGCTAATGGGAACTAGCAGAGACGAAACAAAATTATGCTCCCATCTGAAGAATTTATCATCTTGTGACAAAGTTAAACTGTGATGCACTACTAAAACCAAGTAATAAAGTTAGTGACCATGGAAGAAAATCATGATTTTCATATGGCACATGAGATGGAAGTAATGCTATGTTTGTCACCTCCGTCTTATAGAAAGAGGGACAAAATGATTAAGGAACAATATGATGCACCGAAACCATTAGAAGAAACATTCTTTTCCTAAAAGTTACAACCTAAGCACTGTACAAGCTAAGTAATAAAAAATTCCAATGACATGGAAAATAGGACACATAAACTTTCCCTTTTTCCTCAAGACTTCCCTTATGGCACATGAACTAGAAGTAAAGGCTTCATCTTTACCTTCATCTTGTAGATGCATAGTCCACATTGATTGAACAGCTCCTTAAAATATGAATCTGATCTTGTGATGCTCTTATCTTCTTTGTCCAAGACAAATCCTTAAAATAGGTTACAAACTTCAGTTAATTTGCATATCATTACAACTCAATCATTATATATACGTTCCATAACATCAGAAAATTGGAGTCAAGAACTGACTCAGCTCTAACTAGAAATTCATCAAATCAAGAAACAAAAACTAAAGCTCAGCACAGTAACCAAATGGAAACTGTATGATGCCCAACCAAACAATAATACGGACCAGACATTACGGAAAGCAGGGATATTCTGAACAATCACCTTACGTCCTTTCACTGTAGGATCAATTTCCCTGCCATTGCTGTTTTAAACTATAATACATTTACGACCAATTCTCTATTTTTGTAAAGGAACTGATATACCTGCGGACAAGAAGTATTTTAAAACATGGAATCTTAAACAATATGCTTCTTTTCTTAAATTGCTAAAGGACATGGGTTTTCGGCAATAAATGTATCAAATGGATTTGTTGGTGCATTTCCATAGTCAGATATCTGTGATTATCAATAAGTTTCCTCATGGTCCTCACAGATTATTTCCCACAAAAAGGGTCCTGAGACAAGGTTATTCTCTATCACCCTTTCTGGGTTTCTCTTTATACTTGTGATGGAAGGTTTCAATAAGATGATGGTCTCAGCGATGCAAAATAGTTGGATTACAGGATTTTCAGTAGGGTATAGAGAGCTACACGTACTCTGCACCTCCCATATTCTCTAAGTAGACGACACTTTAATCTCATGTGACGCAGAGGTAGATCAAGTCCTTTATCTGAGACTGAGGGTGTGTTTGGTATGAAGGAAAACATTTTTCGGAAAATGTTTTCCAATTTTCCCATGTTTGGTTGGCTTAAATATTTTGGAAAACATTTTCCTTATCAACTCATTTTCCCCCATTGGAGGAAAATGTTTTCCTTATGAAGAGAAGTGAAAACATTTTCCAAAACTCCCCTTCTCAACATTCCCACCTCACCAACCCACCCACCCCCTCTCCAAAAAAGGCTTTTTTATTTAAATTTCAATTTTTCTGTTACCACCCACCCTACTACCCCTCCACCCCTCCCCCCACCCCCCGGACAAAAACAAATTTTACCTTTTTTT